GATTTCTCGCTTTCTGTCTCTCTGTCTTTCTCTGTCTGTTATTATTATTATTATTATTATTATTAATTTGCCAGAGAGTATGTGCAACTCATTGGAGAAAGACAGGAGGAGAGAGAGAAGACCATGTGTCACCTTATGGAGCAAGGTCACACCACAATCCCTTTTCTCCCACTTCTCCCTTCTTGCAGGATTTTGGGTATACATGCACAGGTGCCTGGCATGTCTTTCAAGCAGTTGACCATGTGGGATCCAGCTGCCTTAACCACCAAGCCACAAGCTGACACTCATGGGTAGTTTTTACAAAGAATATTTAATATACTATTTCAAAATTATTTTATTTAACTTTGTTTATTTATTTGCTTTTAAAAATTTGACCAGAGAGGGACAGAGTGAGAGAGAGTGAGAGAGTGAGAGAGTGAGAGAGAGAGAGAGAGAGAGAGAGTGAGAAAGCAAACTGACAGGTCCAGGACTCAAACTGCAGTCAGCCATGTGGGAGTCCAGTGCCCTTAATCACCATGCCACCTGCTGGCCCTAACATACCATTTTTGTAATGCCATATTATATTACCTTGATATATTTTTAGAAAGTTCTGTTTTCTATGTATGAAATAATTTTATTATGTTTCTACAAAATAAAGTGATTTCAATATATATGAAACATATTTTCTAAACATTTCTGAGTTTGTAGATTAGTTTTTGCCATAGGGTGGGTACCATTATGCTCTGCAAATCAGTCTTTAGTGTATGTAAATAATTTTGACTTTCAAAAATTTATTTTAGGGTATTATTAATTCAGACTCCCATGATCTACCACTTAGTGACCTATTCAACAAATATTTTTTAAGCACTTGCTATGTGAAAAGATAGACAAAGATTACATTCTGGTGGAGAAATTACATAATAAATAAATAAGCAAAATAATTATAGCCTGTGATAACTATTAAGAAGGAAATAAGAGGAGGGTAGGATTTGAATGAGTTATATGAAAATCCCTTAGAATGTTTTTTGCACATAGTAGACCCTCATTAAATATTAGCTATTATCATTTATTTATTTTTTATTGGAGAGGTTTTTTTTTTTTTTTTTTTTTTTTTTCTGCTATAGAGCACGTGCACTCGCCAGAAATACAGAGACAGGAGACAGAGAGACAAAAAGCAAGAAATCACCCTCCAAGGGGGATGGCCATGCCACAATCCCTTCTCCTCCATTTTCCTCTCAGGATCTTGGGCATGCACGCACACATGCCCGGTGTGAGTTTAAGTCACTGGATCCAGGACTCGAACCGCGGTCAACTACATGGGAGTCCAGCGACATAGCCATTATGCTAGCTGCTGGTCCCTATTTATTTTTTATTTTTCCATGTGACAGTATAGTATTATGTGCTTATTGTGGCCTCAAGTATGACACAATTTAGAAAAGACTAACTAGCAGTCCTGGCTTTTTGAATGGCCTTAGAATAATGGGTAGGATTTGATTGGACAGAGAGGAGTGAGGAAAACATTCTAAGTAAAAAGACCAGAACTGGACCAGCAGGTGGCATGGTGGTTAAGGCCCTGGACACTCCCACATGGCCAACCATGGTTCGAGTCCTGCACTTGGTGGCTTGCTTTCTCTCTTTCTCTTTCTCTCTCTCTTTCAGTGTCTTGTGTCTCTCTCTGGTCAAATTAAGACAAATGAATGAATAAAGAAAATTAAATAATTAAAAAAAAAGAAAAGACCAGAGCATAATCAGAAGGTTACCCATGCACAGTTAGAGCAAGCAAAGTTGTAAGGGGATACTGAGAAATAGAGCTTGACTGAGCTAGGTGTATGACATTGGGAAATTAAAATACATCCATAGAGCAGATTTTATAGACACTGTAGTATTTAGAGGTAAACAGACTGTCATGTCATTCAGATTTTCGTCTACCTGACAATTTTTAAAAATTATTTAATTTAATTTATTCATTCATTTATCTTAACTTGACTAGAGAGTGACAGAAAGAGAGAGAAAGCCACCAGGTCTGGGACTCGAACCATGGTCGGCCATGTGGGAGTGTCCAGTGTCTTAATCACCATGCCACTGCTGGTCCCATCTACCTGACATTTTGAAAGATGGTATAATATATCTTGTGTAGTAGATGTACCATAATATGTCTAATATTTCATTACTATTATTTTAGTTTCCAGGTTTTTCACTGTTAAAAGTATAATGCAATCTCTATCTCAGGTATACTATTTTTAAGTTTCTTTTACTTCCTGTGGAAGAATTCAAGGCTTAATATTACTGAATCAAAGGATGCAAACACTTATTTTTCTTGACTTATTTTGCCTAGTTGATTTCAAAATGGTTACTCCTATTTTCAAGATGACAACCTGTGAGTAGCAATTTCACAAAAGGCTATTGTCATTTTGATATGTTTCTATAAACTCTTTTTGGTAATTTAGATTTTACAAAATGGCTTTTCATTTTAACTTTGTTCTTTGATCCAATTTTTCCCTTGTATTAATGTTTACTCTTTATATTTCCTTTATTTGATGGACTAGCTTTCACAATGTTTCACTATTTATCTACTAGAGATTTTAATTTTTAAAATATATTTGAATAAGCTCATTATTTTATAAGTATTAATATTTTGCTTGTCATACTTGACAGCTCATTGGTTTTCTTATTGCTTTAGCTTTAATTCTTTTTCATAGATCTATTAAATATTTATAAGAATTTATGTTTAAAATTTTTTACTTAGTAT